CGCTCCCTCCCTTGACACATCCTCAGCATGCCCCCTCCTACTCCATGTGTGATGTTTTAATAACCTAATGGACTGCGTCAGTGCTGCCCATGTGCACGAGGGCGTGGGGCCCAGCGGCCACAAGAAACTGTCAGTGGCTGTTAGCGATCACGTCAGGGTTATGTGGTGCTTCGGTACATGTGCAGGTGTGGATGAGATCCGTTCTCCCTCTCCTGCTTTCCAGACTTGACGAGTGCTGTGTGCTGGGGTCTGTGTGAGGGAGGGCTGTGGGGCCCTGTGCCTGACGCAGTGTCTTCCGGCTGCATTTGCTGCAGACAGGACAGGACATGTTTGCTCTCAGAGTACAAAAGAGCTGCCTTTGTTATGTGTGTTGTGGTGCTATTCTCAAGTTCATTTTTTACCCTACAACACAATAGCTGAGGTAAAATATCTTTAATCTTGTCTTTTGGCACAAGCCAGAGAATGTCAGGTGTGAACTTCAAATTCTATGTTTTGGCTGGCTGTGCTTTGCAAAAAGAAAAAGACACTGTGTTTGATGTTAGCACTTAGGATTAGAATCCTACCTGGCACATTCTTCTGTAGCGCCTATCTCTAGAAGACAGCGTGATTGAGGAGCTCTGAAGGGAAGGGAGCTGAGAAACAAAAGGAATGGCAGGCTGGCGGGCCAACTCAGTACTTGCTGCTCAGGCCTTGACAGCTTGGCTTCTACCCCAGAACCCATGTGAAGGTGGACCAGAGAACTGAGCCCGACGTGTCACCTGACCCCAAGTGCACTGGGGCATCTGCACCATACCATACATTCGCGCCACTTGAGGATGTGTTGTCCTGTCTTTTTGTCTTTTGCCAATTGTTTTTTTCTCCTTTAGGGGGCGCTAGTATCATTCAGTGCCACATCCTTAATGACAAGAGACATATATTAACCAAAGATACAAATCACAATGTGGCGTATTGGGATGTGTTGAAGGTAAGTATCTTTGGGATTAGAGGTTGTTGGATCGCGAGTTCCCGGGTTTTCCTTCTCTGTACACAGTCAATGCTTTATTGGGGTGGGTGCTTCTGGGTGTTAGGTGGTGTGCTAGTTCACCTTTGTGAGTACCTAAACCATTTCCCTGGTCCCTGTGTTCTAAGTTATATCAGATGCAGCTTTTATTTAAAAGGGTCCATCAGAGTTCTCATCCTTTATGCTGATGGCTTTTTAGGCTGGGGACTCATTGAGTGTAGAGAGAGCTGTTCTGTCCTGTCCTTTCTTTCACAAAAGGGTCCCATGGTAACTGGGAGGATTCAGGGAAGCTGTCAGGAGAAAATAGTGGGTGTAAGCTTGTCTTGGGGGGCAGGTGCCTGTGCAGTCCACTGGGTAGGCTGAAGCAGCCCTCAGCGTGGGGTTACAGGTGATGTCTTGGGAATTGTTGGGATTTCTAAGAAATATGACAAAAAGAGAATAAACTGGGCCATCATTCTTGTCAGGGATCTTGGAAGGAAGTGTGTGATAAAGATGGGTAAGAAAACCAGGAGCGAGTACCAGCGGACAAATGAGGGTTTCAGAACTAATCTGAGTTCATGTAAGATGCTTGCCCGTGAGGGTTAGTCTCTGTGGCAAGCCTGTTAGACAGTAGTAGCCAGTGGGTTCAGTGTAATGTGAAGAAAGGAGCATCATCTTGAAGTCACTGCACTGCAGGGGTGGAGCAAGGAGAGAGGGAAAGGGTTAGGAGCAAGAACCAAGGGAAGGCTGGTTTTACTCTTGGGTTTTTGTGTTCAGGTGTGGTTAGGTTGGAAGAATTTGAGCCTGTTTCACTACTCATGAGGAGACTCCAGTGAGGGCGGGTCCTGTCAATGATACATACGTTTTTCAAGGGAAGACTAGAACATAACCAGAAGGCGCGTGTGTGTGTGTGTGTGTGTGTGTGTGTGTGTGTGTGTGTGTGTGTG